AAATCCATGTGTCACTCCATGGGAGAACGATGTTGGCACTCTGCTTCTGGAAAGGTTACAGTCTAGGAAACCCTATGGGGTAGTTCTAGTCTGTCTAGTAGGGCTGGCTGCTCTGAGTAGTAATTGACTCTGTGGATATGAAATTTTAATTATATTCACAATGTTGTGTAACCATCACCAAAACTTTGCATCACCCCAAACAGAAACTATGTTCTCATTATTGTTGTTGTTATATGCCGTCAAGTTGTACTCGTCTCATAGCAACCTCTCCTTGAATTGCTGAGGCAGTATCTCTACAGAAATAGGTTGCCCAACCTTCCTTCTGAGGAGTGGCTGGTGGATTTTGACCCGCCAGCCTTCTGGTTAGCAGTCAAATACCTTAGGCGCTATGCTGCCAGAGCTCCTTGGATTAAATTATACATGTTGTAAATCCTTGCTTCTATGCATGTGGTTATAATCCCATTTGAGAAGGGTTCTTTGTTATGTTAGTGAAGCAGGATTAGTGTAGGGTGTATCTGGAGTCCATGTCTTTTGGAATATAATAGAGATTGAATGGAAGTTTAGCAAGGAGAGATGAGGTAGAGAGATACCAAACTACATAATGATTGCCCAGGAGCAGAAGCTCAGGAAACATTAGGACCTTCCTTCAGAGCTGACAGAGGGAGAAAGCCTTTCTAGAGCCAGCACTTGAATTCAGACTTCTCCCCTTCTTAACTGTGAGAAAATAAACTTCTGTTTATTATAACCACCCACTTGTGGTATTTCTGTTACAGCAGCACTGGGTAACTAAGACAGCCATTAAGCACTAACTCTCACTTTACCTCCTACCATCAGCCTATGGTAACCGTTAATGTGCTTTTTATCTCTGCTTTTGCCTATTCTAAATAAGTCCCACGATGTTTGTCTTTTTGTGCATGGTGTATTTCACTCAGCATAATAATTTCAAGGTTCATTTCATAGCATGTATTATGTCCTTGTTCCTTCTGATGGCTGAATAATATTCCATTATATACATTATATATAATATTCCATTATATAATATATAACCAGAAGGCTGGTGGTTCAAACCTGCCAGCAACTCCATGGAAGGAAGACTGGGCATTCTAGTTACATAAAGATTTACTGCCTCGGAAACCCAAAGGGGGTTGCTATGAGTCGGAATCCACTTTATGGCAGCATATTTTGTTAATTCATTCATCTATTGATGGACAATTAGATTGTTTCCACCTTTTGGCAAATGTAAATAATGCTGCAGTGAACATTAGTAGTCTGTTTGAACTTCTGCTTTCATTTCTTTTGGGTATATTCCCAGGAGTGGAATTGCAGAATCGTAAAACAATTCTGTGTTTACCTTTCTGAGGAGCCACCTGTGGTAGTTATGTTTGTGTGTCAACTTGGCTGGCCCTGGTTGAGTGGCTCTAGCAATATGCTGGCTTCCGGTTTCTCTACATCCTCATTAATACTTGTTATTTTCCTTTTTTTCTGATAGTAGCCATCCTAGTAGATGTGAAGTAGTATCTCACTTTGGCTTTCAGAAACATTTTCTTGATTACAAATGACTTTGAGCATCTTTTTATGTGCTTATTGGCCATTTGTAGATCTTCTTTGGAGAAATATCTATTTAAATGATTTGCACATTTTTTGCTTGGGTTGTTTTTGTATTGTTGAGTTGTAGGAGTTATTTAATCTTCTTTATATTAAATGCTTATCTGATAAATGGTTTACAATTATTTTCACTCTATAAGTTATCTTTCATTTTGTTGATAATTTCCTTTGATATAGAAGCGTTTTATTTGATGAAGTCCAATTTGTTTTTCTTTTTGCTTGTGTCTTTGGTGTCATAGCTGTGTGTCTATTTGTGAGATAAAAGGTTCTGAAGATTTACCCCAGTGTTTTCTTCTAAGAGTTTTGTGATTTTAGGTATTATATGAAGGTCATCGACCATGTTTAGTTAATTTTCATTGTTGGTGTGAGGGAGGGTCCAACTTCATCTTCTATGCATTTGGAAATCCAGTTGGCCCAGCACCATTTGTTGAAAAGATTATTCTTTTATCATTGAGTGAAGTTGGCACCTTTGTCAAAAATTATTATTAATTGGTCGTTCATATATGGGTTTATTTCATGACTCTGTATTCTGTTTGCTCTGTGTCTATAGCAGTACCACAGTATTACGAACACTGTATGTAGCTTTGTAGTGGAATCTCTGGGTGGTAGAAACAGTTAACACATTTAGCTGCCAGTTGCAAGGTTGGAGGTACCTTAGAAGGAAGGCCTGGCAATCTGTTTCCAGTTGAAAATCCTGTGGGACACAGTTGTTCTCTGAAATCCATGAGGTCGCTACAAGTGGGAGTCAACTGGACAGCAGCTGGTGGTGGTGGAGGTTTATGGTATATTTTGAAATCGGAAAGTGTGAGTCCTACTTTTTTTCTTCTTTTTCAAGATTATTTTTGACTATTCAGGACTCCTTGAAATCCATTTTTTTTTTTTTGAAATCCATTTTTAAATGTAAAGATCAGCTTTTCCATTTTTGCCAAAAAAGGCTCTTGAAATTTTGATAGGGACTATACTGATAGCTTTGGGTAGGGTGATGTCTTTCCATTTATTTGAGTTTCCTTTGATTTCTTTCAGCAATGCTTTATGGTTGACAGTGAACAAGACTTTTACCTCCTTGGTTAAATTTATTCTTAGCTACTTTTTTAGGTGCTATTGTAAATGGAATTGTTTTCTTAATTTCCTTTTGTACTATTCATTGCCAGAGTGTAGAAACAAAACTAATTTTTGCATGTTGCAAACTTGCATCTTTGCTGAATTTATTTATTAACGCTTGTAGCTTTCTAGTGAAATCTTTGGGCTTTTTTCTACATAGGGTCTATAATCTGCAATTTTACTTCTTTTTTGATTTGGATGCTTTTTATTTGTTTTCTTGCCTAATTGTTCTGGTTAGAACTTTTGGGACAATGTTAAATAGCAGTGGTGAAAGCAGAAAGGGTGGTGAAAGCAGAAAAGAAAGATTTCAGTCTTTTGCCATTGAGTATGATGTTAGCTGTGATTGTCCTGTAACTGGTGTTTGTGATAAAGATAAGGTAAAATGCATCAAAGGAATAGTCAACTTCATTTGTATTTTATTATGAAAAATAAAATACGATGAAGAAAAATTATTATTATAAGACTTTCCATAGTTTTTGCCAAAGGATAAGGAGCCCTCAAAATCTGAAGGAAAAAAAAAAAGATTAGAATTTATTGCTTATGATAGTATGAGAATACTACACTGGTTAGGAACAGTATTTTTTAACAGAGCAGGCTGCTGATCTTATGTGGGGTTTTGGGAAGAGAGGAGTTTCAGGATTAGCAGATAGAGGCATTAAGTAGGGTGACATTATAAGTAACAGTGTGATTATTTGTGGTGACTTGGATAAGACTGTTGTTAATTGATTGGGACCCCATATTTATTGGAGTGAGTTTGTCCCTGATTGTCATTTAGAAGCAAAGGGCTGATATGGATTGGTTGGTGAGTGAGGCCAGTGGTTGTTGATTGATTGAACAGATTTAAAACTGGTTCTGATGGCTACTTGTTACCATGGCTTACAGATGAGTCAGTGTTTTCCTAAGTTTGAGATGACGTCTTTTACTCTGATGACCAGATATTTTCTGGTTAAAAATATTTTCATCAATATGTTCAAAATGAAAAGTATTTCTTAGTTTAGGTTTGTGGGCTTATTTTTTAAGTTTGCTATAAGAGGAATTATTTAATAATTTGTTTTAGAAGATCCCTCTTCTTTTAGATGCTTAGTTTTAACTAATAGAATTGTCAATATAACTTCGTTTCTTTCTCTTTTTTTCAGTAATTGTTTAGTTTCTTATTTTTAGTAATTGTTTAGATTTTTTATTTTTTTTTTGTATTCATAGGGCCTTGGGAGCTCTGGTGCTGTAGTGCCTAAGGCATTTAACTGCTAACCAGAAGGCTGGCAGTTCAAACCCACCATCCACTCCTCAGAAGGCAGATTGGGGAATCTACTTCCTTAGAGACACTTCCTCAGAAACCCAAGGAGGGGTTGTTATGAGTCAGATCCGACTCGACGGCAGTGAGAGTTCATAGGGCCTTATTCTTAACTCCCAAAATGATAATCTCTGGTGGGAATTTTCAGTTTCTTTGTAAATTTATGTGGATATTAATAAATATATAATAAATATGATAATAAAAAACTAATTACAATTTTCTGTTGATAACTCCAGCTTTTGATATTAAGTTTATATAGTAAGCTATAAAAGTATAGGAAAGTTACTAAGTCATTTTATTTTCAGATCAGATAGTACTATTTAATCCATATATTATGGCTTATAGTTATTTTTAAAATTAGCTGTTTCTCCTCCAAGATACTTTCCTGATTTCTTCTTTAATATTAATGTGGCTCATCCTATTGTTAAAGCTTCCTTTCAGCTAACCATTATTATATTTAAAAAGCAAAACCAAAAATATAGGACAAATGTAATTTACTCCTCTGTCTGAATCTATTGCTTTTAGGCTGTAAGCTCCAGACTCTTACTTAATGTAGCAATCAGAAGTTTTCCAAATTTCTTCTCTGATTTATGTCCTACTACTTACTCTCATGTGTTTTACACTTTTCCTTTCAAGTATTTGGAAACATTGTAGATGCCACGTGTGATGTTTGTGCTCAATTCTAATCTCTCGGTAGAATGGTTTTCTCGTACTGCTTTACCTGGTGAGCTCCTCTGTTTTTCCTCTTCTGTCGTGCCTTCCCTGTGCTCAAAATAATAAGTTCTCATATATCAGCTCTTATCACATTGTATCATTATTGTGTATTTACCCACCTTTCAGTGCAGGGAAGGTGTATTTCCTTGTGTATAGTTTGTACTTCATGATTGTTTTTTGCATGAATGAATGAATCAAGATGAGGAAGAATTAGAATTTTACAATATTGTTCTTTTATGTTTGTCAGTAGAATTATTATGAACTATTGTCTTTTTATGTATTTTTAAAGTAGTGATCCTGCCTTATCTATGAAGGAAGTAAAGACATATGAAAGTAAAAACTGGACCTCAAAAGAATCTGCGGTTACACCGATGTTGGAGAAAGCTGATTTGCTAACTGGTGTTTTACAAGTGAATGATGACAGCAGTTTGAGTGAAATAGGTCAAGAAGAAGGAAGGTAAATGATCTACATTCTTTATTTCCCTGTGAAGGAATGTTTTTGATTACTTTTTCTGGAAATAGGCGAGTATAATGTCCAGGCCAAGGCAAGGATACCAAACTATTTCACATGCTGCTGAAAGTTCATTAAGATGAAGATAAGTGACTTTGACACGGAGCATATTCAGTAAATGGCAGATATGGAAGCCAAGTGCAATGGATAATTGTAGACATTTTTGCTGAGAAAAGCAATAGAGAACTGGGTGATAATAGAGTAAGACAATAGGGTTTAAAAGAATTAGCTTTCTTGACTTCCAATAAGATGGAGTAATAGGCAGACAAGCGACACAGACCCTCCTCAACAAAGAAAAGAAAAACCGATTGACAGAGATCCAGAAGATAATCCTGGAACCCTGAGCTTTGAAAGAAACTATACAGAAGTGGATTAGGCACCAAATAGTGGAAAAACTTGAATGAAAACAGTGAGTACAGAGACGGGTGGAGCTGTGGACTGTCAGCTACTCTGACGAGACTAACAGCCTGAATATTTCCAAGTGGCATTGGGACCTGAGAATTGACCTAAAGATCAGTCCTGGTAACCAAGGGCTGCAGGGACAACTGCTCTGGTGGTCTATGACTAGGAAGGGAAACAGCAAGGAGGGAGATAACCTGAGCTGTGGACTTTCTGCTGTCCAGAGGATGCAGCCATTTTGATTGTTTACATGTGGCAGCCATTTTGGATATCTAAAGTGACCAAGGGCATAGCCATTTTGAATGTTTACAAGTGGTGGCCATCTTGGATATTTAAAGTGACTGAGGGTGCAGCTATTTTGAATGTTTACAAGTGGCTACCATTTTGGATTTTAAAGTGATAGCATTCTCATTTGGATTCCAGGGAGCTAAGAACAGGCTTTATTTGCCAGGGTTGGCAAGGACATACGAAAGGCTGACAATAGGAAAGGAGACAGGTGGTGAGTGTATAAGTGCTGTCAACTAGTAAATAGAGGAGTATAGCATAGATAACACACAAACAAAACAAAATGAAAATTGTGGGCAAGTCACTCCAACATATAATCACCAATATAAACACAAATATAATCACAAAATATAAACAAATATAATATACAATATAAATATATAAAATTTAACAAAATAATATATTTGTGTTTATAATCACAAATATAAACACAAAAACGTCACAATGCCTCGGAGACAACAGATCATCACAGTCCACACAAAGAAGCAAGATAAAGCAGGAGAAACAAGGGACCAGAATATAGACCCAAAACACAGTCCCTGAGGAAGATGCAGCATTGGAACTCCCTGATAAGGAATTTAAAAGAATTATATTTAGGTATCTTCAAAGGATTGAGAGACAGACCAAGGAAAACACAGACAAAACCCTAGAAAGATTTTGGAAGAAAATACAAGAACAAAATGGCAAAATAAATGAAAAATTAGAAATGATTCTAAATCTACAGATAGAAATCCAGAAGGTTTATACTAAATTGGCAGAAATAGATAACACATTGAAAGGGCAAAGAAGTAGAATTGATGCAATGGAAGGCAGAATTAATGAGATTGAAGACAAATACCTGAATACTTTGGAAAGGGATCAATCGGAAAAAAGATCAAAACAAAATGAAAAAAGCCTAAGGTTCGTGTGAGATACCATCAAAAGGAATAACCCACGTGTCATTGGAATTCTAGAACAGAAAGAGAAAAATAAAACCACTGAGAAAAATTTCCAAGATCTGTTGGAAGAGAACTTCCCTGATATGAAAGATGAGAATATATCCATTCAGGAAGTCCAGCGAACCCCAAACAGGATAGACACCAAAAGAAAAACACCAAGACATATCACCATCAAACTTACCAAAACCAAAGACAAAGAATCATGAGAGCAGCACAGGAAAAACGAAAAGTTACCTACAAGGGGCAACCAATAAGACTAAGCTCGGATTTCTCAACAGAAATCATGCAGGCAAGAAGACAGTGGGATGGTATATATAAAACCCTGAAAGAGAAAAATTTCCAACTAAGATTTATGTACCCAGCAAAATTGTCCCTCAAATACGATGGTGAAATTAGGACATTTCCAGATAAGCAGAAATTAAGGGAATTTATTAAAACCAGACCAACCTTACAAGAGATGCTAAAGGGAGCCCTTTGGACAGAGAAGCAACAACAGCCAACAACAACTCACCATTAACACACATGATGATATAACCCAGAAACCAACCCAGCTATGGAAGTATCCAGTGTAAAGAAGCCTACAAGATTGTAAACAGGGAACCAGAGAGACCAAGCGACAAATGAGGACAACTACAAACCAAAAAGGGGGGGGGGGGAGGAATCTTTGTTGTTACAGAACTTCTAGATGGTAGGGAAGTCAAGATAACTACAAGATAGAACAGACTGTTCTAAACTTGAGAAGAAAACTATAAATCACAAGGTAACCTCAAAGAAAATGATAAACCTTCACATCAAAATAAAAAAGAAGACCAGCATAAATATTCAGCAAATGCTAAAACAATAGAAATGAAGGAAGTAATAACATGATTCATAAACAAAACGAGCTCAGCATAGAAAATTATATGGAACAAGGAAATCAACACAATGAAAAAGCACATGACGAAAATGACAGCAACAAATTCGTATTTGCTGATAATTACATATCTGGCAAGGGACTTATCTCTAAGATTGATGGAAAACTCCAGCGCCTCAACACCAAGGGAATTAACAATCCGATTAAAAATGGGCAGAAGACATGAATAGATACTTCACCAAGGAGGATATGTAGGTGGTCAGCTGATACATGAAAAGATGCTCACAATCATTCATTATCAGAGAGATGTAAATCAAAACAACAATGAGATACATACCATCTCACCCCAGCACTGATGGCAAGGTTCAATGAGACAGAAAATAACAAATGCTGGTGGAGATGTGGAGATATTGGGACTCTTATACACTGCTTCTGTGACTGTGAAGTGACACAACCACTGTGGAAAGCAATATGGCGATTCCGTAGAAAGTTGGAATTGGAGATGTATTTGACTCAGCATCCCATTACTAGGTATATATCTTAGAGAGGTGAGAACCATGATAGGAACAGATACATGCATGCTCATGTTCATCACAGCACTATTTACAGTAGCAAAAAGATGGAAACAAACTACATGCCCATCAGCGGAAGAGTGGATGACCAAACTATGGTACATACACATACTGGAATGCTGTGCAGCACTAAAGAATAATTAGAGTCTGCAAAACACTGTATAATATGGATGAACTTGAAGGACATTATGCTGAGTGAAAGAAGTCAATCACACAAGGACAAATAAAGTATTTGTTGTTGTGGGAGGGTCAAGGAAAGGTTTATATATGGAGGAAAACCTTTGTTGGTTGCCAGGGGTGGGAGGGGAGGGAAGGGAACACTGCAAAAAAAAAATGCATTGACCCATTTCAGTTTAGTTTTGTGTATTTCACTGTAGATAAATTATAGTTCAATAAAATTCATTTCTTTTAAAAAAAAAGTTATATTTTGTATTTTGAGTTGGAACATTTTAAAATATGTTTGTATGCTGATGGAAGTGATTCAGTAGCGAAAGACAAGTTTATTATATTTAATTTTGTTTCCGCTTCTAGGTATTAAAAAGCTTGCTGGTTTTACTGCAATATCTTGTAAAGATTTACAGGAACAGTTCTTATCATTTCTATTCATGTTTAGTTGGGTGAGGTTTTTTTGATGCTTGTAATTTATTTGATTTTTAACCACGCCCCATGCTTGCTTTTCTTTTTTTGTTTTTTAGCATACATAGTTTTTTTGGTAAAACGTTGTTCATTCAAAATGTTTCATAATGGAACATTCTCATATAATTGAATATGCAGATAATGACTTAAAGTTATACTATCATACGCAGATTTTTAAAAATTACGTAATATTGAACATGCAAGCCCTTAGGCCCTACTGAATAGATTTTGACCATTCCTTGATGATTCAGATATTGCAGTGCTTTGACGGTCATGAATGACTGTGATTCTGTAAGGTACTCTAAATTATCCAGTGATTATCAATCTAAAACTGTTTAGATTATGAGGTAAGGAAAGGATTTTGTTGTATGAGCAAAGGAGAAATAAACTGCTGACAGTCTACTGCAGATTAGTTTAGGATTACAAAGTTCCAGAGTACAAAACCATCTTGCCCTGTACCTAACTGTTGTTGACACTTATCCTGTGCTCTGTAACTATTTGTTGAATGTATAAACAAACAGTTGGATGAATGAATGCCTATTAATGAGTTTCTTTTGAAAAAAGAAAGATTTATTGAAAATAGTTTTTCAATTTTGCCTAGTTATAAAGTCTTTTAATTTAAGAAAATATTTGCAAGATTCAGAAGTTACTATATGTAACCAAAAATGGAATGATAATATTCTTTCATTCACTATCCTATTACTTAAAAGAACTTAAAAATAAATATTATTGTATCAGCATACTGTGAACAACTTGCTTTGGAGCCAGAATTCCTGGGTTTTAATTCAGGCTTGTCTGCTAACTAGCTTTATGGCCTTCAGCAAGTTACCTAGCCTCCCTATGGCTCAGTTTCTTCTTTTGTAAAATATCTACTGTATTACCTACCTCAAAGAATTGTTGTGAGGATTCAAATGAGTTAAGACTATAAATATAAAGTACTTAGAATAATGCATAGTAGTCCTCAAACAGCTAACTAATATTTTCATTATTAAGTAAGGTTTTTCCTCATGTTACTACTTAAGTGCAGTAAAAATTTCCAAGTAAGATTTAGTGCCATGCCATTAAAAACCTTAAAAATAATAAGAAAACAACCTATCTCTTCCCATTATGCAATGCAAGTTGTTTTTCCTTTTGCTTTCCTGTCAAAAAACTTGATATAAATTTAATACTTTTGAATAATGATATTATTTATATATTTTCTTTGTCCTTTAATATTACTTTCTGTTTATAATTTAATTCCCATTGTAGAAAATAATTTTATTCTAAATTACCTGTAAACTTTCTTATGAACAGGAAAAATAAACTATAAATGCAAACATTTTATATATAAGACAGTGTTTGATATTCTTTGTATTTGACATATTAAATATTTGCCTAAAATGAATTTTTTGTTTTATAGGACTACAAAGAAAATATGTGATGAAAAGAGCAAGGTATTGTAAAAAAAATAATTTATTAAAATTGTTATTCTGTAGTTGGAAGCAATACATTTATGAAAGGTAAAGTGGAAAATTAGAAAATCTTTTGTTTTAAAATGAAAGAAATTTAATTTGAGAAAGTGATGTAGAAACAGTAGCTTTTGATAAAGGTATCTTTTTGACAAAAATTAATTATTTTAAGAAGTAAAATTAATTTTACTAAGATGTTTGATTTTGCTCATATAGAAAAGATGGATGGATATTTACTACCTCTGTAAGCTTAGTATATGCTATAAATATTTGGGGGACATAGCATTATTTATTTTATAGGTCCAAAAGCAGATTGATTGCATGGATGACCTTGATGACTTATCTCAGTCATCTGAAACAGCTTCAGAGGATTGCGTATTGTCTAACTTTAGTCATAAGAATCCTATGTTGCTAATCGAACAACTTGGAATGGATTGTAAAGGTAGGATCATTGTATAAATAGCCTTTTCATGTGTACTGTAGTAATATATAAGGAGCTTTGGTGGCATAATGGGTAAAATATATGGCTGCTCACCAGAATGTTGGTGGTTTCAGCCCACCAGCTGCTCTGTGGAAGAAAGATGAGGCAATCTACTTCTATGAAGATTTATAGCCTTGGAAGCCCAATTGGGGATGCTATGAGTTGAAATCGGCTCGATGGCAGTGGATATAATAATGTATGGGCACCTTGTTTAGCACTGCACCATTGAGCAATGATGTATATAGTGCTGTTCATCTCAGAAATAAGTTTTACTATTAAAATAGAATGAGAGCTGTTGTACACTCTCATCTGCAGAGCTTTGAGACTTTGCTCAATGTGAATGACACCTCCTGTCTTTGTTGACTTTACTTTTCTTCTTTGCCTGGAATACTGTAATAACCTCAGGCCTGTTTTCCCCATGTCCCCAAATCCTGGTCTATACTGCAGCCATAACTGTAAATACTCATATCTGAACATATATTGTCCTTGCTTAAAAAACCCAGCAGTCATTTTTTGCTATAAGGTCAAAGACCAAAATCCTTCACTTTAATCATTTCATGTCCTTTTTTCCCCTCTGTGTCCTAGCCACTTCCTTAGATGTTTGTTCCTGCAGTAGAGCTTTTTGTTTTCAAAAGCTTTAGTGAGGTATAACTGACTAGGTAAACTGCATGTTTCTGACACGAAATCTCATTTCATCCTTATCTTTTAGTTCCTCAGTACATAACATGTCTTTCTCTAACTGCTTTGAAGATTTTCTCTTTATGACTAGTTTTAGCAATTTGATTGTGCTATGCCTTGGTGTTTGTTGTATTCAATTTTCTGTGCTTGGGTTTACAAATCTATATGGGTCTGTATGGCTGTAGTTTTCCTTAAGTTTGGAAAAATTTTGGCTATTTTTTCCTTCAAATACTTTTTTCTGTCACTTTCCCCACCTCTTTAGGAACGTGTTTATTAGCCACTTCCAGTTATCCCACTGGACAGTGATACCTCATATTTACTAATATTTTCTTTTGCAATGTCTAATCTGCTTTTATTCCCATCCAGTGTATTTTTCTTCTCTGACATTGTACTTTGCATTTCTACTAGCTTGACTTTGGTCTTCTGAAAAATAAATTTTATTTCTCTACTTAACTCTTTATACATACAGAAAACAGATATAACTTTTAATTGCCTTCTCTGCCAGTTCTAATATCCATGATAGTTCTGGGTCAGTTTCACTTGATTGGAGCTCGAGGGCATAGGGCCTAAGGCATTTCACTGCTAACCAGAAGGCTGACGGTTCAAACCCACCAGCCACTCCTTGGAAGGAAGACCAGGCAATCCCCTTCCGTAGAGCTATAGCCTCAGAAACCCAAGGAGGGGTCGCTGTGAGTCGAATCGACTTGATGGCAGTGAGTTTTTTTTGTTTTTTTTTAAATGTTTTTTTCCCACCCTTCCTCATTGCATATTTGATAATCTTTGGGTGCCAGCCATTATGGATTTTATCTTGTTGGGTGCTGGATATTTTTGTATTCTTATGGGAGCTCTAAGGCTGGCTGTTCAAACCCACCAGCCACTCCTCGGAAGGAAGGTTGGGCAAGCCTCCTTCCATAGTGATACTGCCTCAGAAACCCAAGTATGGGTTGCTATGAGTTGGGGCCGACTCGACGGCAAACAACAACAACATGGGAGCTCTGGTAGCATAGTGCCTAAGGCACTTGACTACTGCTAAAATGGCAAGGAGGCCTCATATTCTGACCTCCTAGAACCCAACAAGAGGAAGACAGGATTACCAGCAATAACCCAAGGCCTATTCCTGCCATGCCAGACATGCTATGTCCCTCCAGCCCTTTCTCCAACCGTTCCTTGCAAAGAACCCGCTACCTCTCTCCTGGGTTCTATAATTCACTGCAGTGGCCACACGGAACTCACGAATTACGGGGTTTATTAGGGAAGCACCAGGCTACAACTCAGGTTCAGGAAGAACGCTCAGTCTCTCTCCCAGCCCACTGTTCCTCAGCCAACAGTCTCTCACAGTCTCTTTCCCAGCAGCGCTGGTCCCTCGGTGTCTCACTCAGCAATGCGTGTCTCTTGCGTCTCTTTCCCAGCAGCACGTGTCTCTTTCAGGGGCGCGTGTCTCTTTTGGCAGCATGTCTTCCTGAACCAGCAGTCAGAGAGCATTCTAGGAGGCCTCCTTTTGAGCCCGGCAGGGTGGTCAAACTAGCCAATCATAGCATCAGAACTCTTAAGCACCTGAGAGAGAGTGGGCACCTCCCAGAACATTGTTTTGTGCCACTCCCAACAGAAATACTCCAGGTGGACACCTTCAGCAATTAGGAGCTCCTCAGTTGCTCATAGCAAATCCCATCTTGTAGTTTACAAAGACTTACAGGTAGAAAAGCCACACAAAGTAATTTACTACACTGCAACTACTAACCAAAAGGCTGGCGGTTCAAACCCACCAGCCACTCCTTGGAAGGAAGGTTGGGCAATCTACTTCCGTAGTGATACCGCCTCAGAAACCCAAGGAGGGGTTGCTATGAGTCAGGTCGACTCGAGGGCAAATAATAACAACAGCAATAATTCTTGAACTTTCCTTTAGGATATGGTTACTTATAAATGGTTTGATCCTTTCAGGTTTTGCTTTTATGATTTGGCAGGTGGATCCAGAGCAGTGTTCAGCCCAAGACCAATTATTCCCTACCACTAAGGCAAGAAATTTCTGAATGCTCTACTCAAGTTTCCTGTGAATTATGAGAGTTTTTGTAGTCTGGCTAGTAGAAATAGACACTAATCCTGGCCCTGTGTGAACATAGGCACCATTTAATCTAATCTTTTCAAATGTTTTTGTTTTCTACCTTCAGTAGTTACTTCATATTCATGCACTGTTCATTACTCTGGTCAATACCCAAGGGGGACCCTCTAGAGTTCTCTATCTATATTGGTCTCTCCTCTCTGGTGTTCTAACCTTTGATCTCTATCTCTCTTGGTTTTTCCAGCTGCCTAGCTTCATAACTTAAACTCAAAGAGTCTGCTAGATTCCACCTCAGTTCCTTCTCCCTGTGCATGTCCTGGAAACTCTCTGAGGGAAATAAGCAGGGCATTTATAAGGCTTCATCTCTTTTGTATCTTTCATGGATTATTGTCATCATTCATTGTCTGAAGTTCAGTGTCTTAAAAATTACTGTTTAATGTATTTTGTCTTTTTCCATTTTTGATCATTTCAGGTAAGAAGGTAAATCAGTACATGTTACTACATCTTGGTGGAAGTGAATTGCCATAGATCTTCAGCACATGCTATGTAGACTGTCTAGAATGTTCTTCCTTCCCTTTCCTTAACTACTTTCAGATCAACCTTCAGTTCTCAGTGTAGGCATCTCTTGCTCAGTCAAATTTTCCTTGGGCTGATTCTCAATTATATTTTCTTATGTGATTATAGAACTCTGTTTTTTAAGAGTCTCTGAATTCATTGTTACCATTTTATTTGTCTCTCTCTTCTTGTAGGCATTGAGATAAACAAAAGTAGGAGTCTTCTTTGTTTCATCTACAGAGCTTAGTATAATGTCTTCCACATTGTAGATACTCAGTACATATTTGATCAATATATGAATGAGTGAGTGTGAAAATGAATGGGACTTTATGTACAAAACTACTCATATTATTATCTCTATCTTCATTTTCTCCCTGATACAGATTCTGTTAGTCTATTGAAAATCCAGGATACAATTCTTTCCTATGAGAGATTAATAAAACTAAAAAAAAATCATTGTGAACTACTTACAAGAAAAAATAAAAAAATGGAAGATAAGGTTAGTCGACTGCAAAAGGAGTTATCAGAAACAAAAGAAGTAAAATCACAATTAGAGCATCAAAAAGTGGAATGGGAACGAGAACTCTGCAGTTTGAGGTATAAAATCTTAGTTTTATAGAAATGTTTGAATTACTTACTTTTATGCTATAGATATGTAGGAGAACTTTTGTCGTTGCTAACTTAGCTTTTGGGATTTTATAGAGGAGGAAAATTCTTAGTCCTGTGAAGTATGAAATTCTTGAAGTGATAAGTAAGTCCCTAATAATGAATAGTTGTGCTTATAATTAAATTATAAATCATACTTTCAGTGGCCATATGGAAGTCCACCATATGTAAATCTCATTATTTATTTAACAAATTGAATTTTGGGTTATTTTTCTTTTTTCTCTACTGTAATAAGTCCTGTGAGTAACATCTTATATATAAATGCTTTTCTCCATTTCTCATGGTTTACTTTGAATAAATTCTTCAGTACAGAATTATTTGGTTAAAGTAGAAAAACTTTTAAAAAAGGTCTTTCATCCATACTTGTAAATTGTATTTGACAAAGTTTATATTAACTTCCATTTCCACCACCAGAGTAGAAAATGGCTATTTTTCTCAAACTAGAATGATTTTTTAAAAATGTATGCAGTTCTGTTTTTAACATGTACATAGAAAAGCAAAATGGAAAATGATTATAGAGTATTTTATTCAACCTTTTTCTCATACATAAACTAAACCCTTTGCCCTAGAGTTGAATTTCATTCACAGTGACCATGTAAGACAGAATAGAACTGCCCCATAGGGTTCTCTTATATGTGTTATTTTTGTTGTTACGTTGAGTCAGACCTGGCTCATAGCGACCCCTCCTTGGGTTTCCAAGGTGGTATCACTACGGAAGTAGATTGCCCAACTTTCCTTCCGAGGAGTGGCTGGTGGGTTTGAGCTGCCAGCCTTCTGGTTAGCAGTCAAGTGCCTTAGGCACTATGCTACCAGAGCTTCTCTTATACATAGGTACAATTAATTCAAAGTTCTTTGTTGAAAGCACGTATTAATCTTGATTGTTTAATTAATTACTGTGTATCCTATCTTGTTCCAAAGGGATTTAAAGAGGATTAATAAGATCAATAATAATCAACAAGATAGAAGTTTAAAGTGTTATGAAAGAAGAAGTATAAAAATTGTGAGGTAACATATAATTAGACTACCTATGGAATTTGACTGTTAACCAGAAGGCTGGTGGTTCAAACTCACCAGCCACTCCTAGAAAGGAAGATTGGACAATTTACTTCCATAGAGATACCACCTTGGAAGCCCAAGGAGGGGTCTCTGTGAGTCAGGACTGACTCCATGGCATTTAGGGCTTTTTTGTTGTTTTTTTGAGCCTAGTCTTGGATTATAATATAATATGCAGTATTTTGTGTGAAAGACACTTGAAGGTGCTATCTTACACTGTAAATAATTTTTGGGGACATCTGTAATATTTCATCTTTGTGAAATGCTTAAATTTTTGTTTCTAGTGAATTTATAAACTTTAAGCAACAATGTCTCTTGTTAACTAGTTAACTTGTAAATTATGTATCCTAATGGAGAAGTAAGAACTCTGGTGGTGTAGTGCCTAAGGCATTTGACTGCTAACCCGAAGGCTGGCGGTTCAAACCCACCATTGACTCCTTGGAAGGAAGGTTGGGCAGTCTTCTTCCATACTGCCTCGGAAACCCAAGGAAGGGTCCCTATGAGTCGGATCTGACTTGCCAGCAGTGGGTTTTTTTAATGGAGAGGTAATTATACCTATGTGGTATGTAGGAACTAAAGATAATTTTAACTCTAATTTTACTGAATAATTTCAAAATTCCTTTCCCATGTTTACCAGAGTTACTTGTAACAAAACAAAACAACAGTATATCCTTTAATTGCAACCTTTTAAGAATGTATTACTTTTAAAAGAGATTGAAATGAGAAAAATAGGAGAACTGGGAAGGAAAAAATATCCAAAAACATAAATTTCATAAACTGCATAGTAAATTAACATATAAAGAGCCAGAGCACAAAGTGAACTTTTTATTTTCTAAAAAAAATGAATTTTAAAATAAACATGTCTAAATGCAGATTTACTTTAAAACAAGAAGAAGAAAAGAGAAGAAATGCTGATATATTGTATGAAAAAATTAGAGATCAATTAAGAAGGAAAGAAGAGCAATTTAGTAAAGAAATTGAAATGAAACAACAACTTGAACTCACTCTTAGAACCCGAGATATGGAATTGAGGACTGTAAGAAGTAATCTGAATCAGGTAAATTAATCTTTAGTAAAGATTTCTTATCATTATTTCATTAATATTATTTATGATGGCCCTTTGATTTAATGTATATTGTCTAAAATAAACCAAAAATGTTTTTACCTCCTAAATATGAACTATAATATTTATAGCTAAATCAATTAATTTATTGGCATTTTTGGCATATAGTTAGTACTCAGGATGTGTTTTGTGAATGAAGAAATTGAAGGTAAATTGAGTGTAATCATAAACATAAATGCTAATTTTGGCATTTTTTATGTTAAAAAATAGGTTCAACAGCTATGAGATTATGATAAAACAAACCAAACCCAAACCAAAGTTTATTCTGACTCAGAGTGACCATTCAGAGCTGAGTAGAACTGCTCCATAGATTTATATTCATTCCAAGAATATAAATCTTCCTGGAAGCAAACTTTTTTATACTGAGTGGCTGCATAGCAGCAAAATATTAATCCATCTCATCAAAATGTGCCCACCACCAGAGGTCCTTTTCATGAGATTGTGATACCCACTGCCATCAAGTCAATTCTGACTACTAGCGACCCTATAGGACATAGTAGAACTTCGCCATAGAGTGTCCAAGGGTGTGTATCTTCAGTGGAGCAGACTGCCTCATCTTTCTTCTGCAGAGAAGTTGGTAGGTTCAAACCATTAATCTTTTATTGTTGTTGTTAGGTGCTGTCGAGTCGACTCTGACTCACAGCAACCCTTTGTACAACAGAATGAAACACTGCTGGTCCTGTGCCAGCCTCACAATAGTTGCTGTACCTGAGCCCATCATTGCAGCTACTGTGTCAGTTCATCTTATTGAAGATCTTCCCCTTTTTCATTGGCCTTCTACTTTACCAAGCATGATATCCTTCTCCAGGGAATGGTCCCTTCTGACAACATGACCAAAGTAGGTGAGACGAAGTCTGGCCATTCTCATCTCCAAGGATGATTCTGGCTTTCTTCCAGGACAGATTTGTTAGTTCTTCTGGCAGTCCATGGTACTTTCAGGATTCTTCATGAACACCACAACTCAAAAGCATCAATTCTTCTTCAGTCTTCCTTATTCATTGTCCAGCTATCACATGTGTATGAGGCTTGGGTTAGATGCACCTTTGTCTTCAAGGAGACATCTTTGCTCTTCATCACTTGAAAGAGGTCTTTTGCAGCAGATTTGCCCAATGCAATACAATGTCTGATTTCTTGATGGCTGCTTCCATTGATGTTGATTGTGGAACCAAGTAATGTGAAATCTTTGACAACTTCAGTCTTTTCTCCATTTATTTCGAGGATTTTTGTTTTGTTTATTTTGAGGTGTAATCCATACTGCAGACTGTAGTCTTTAATCTTCATCAGTAAGTGCTTGACATCATCTTCACTTTCAGCAAGCAAGGTTGTGTCATTTATGTATAACAGGTTGTTAATGAGTTTTCTTCAAATCCTTGTGCCGTGCTCTTCTTCATACAGTCCAGCTTCTCGGCTTATTTGCTTAGTATACAGATTGAATAAGCATGGTGAAAGGATGCAACCCTGATGCACTTCCTTCCTGATTTTAAACCTTGAAGTATTGCTTTGTTCTGTTCGGACAACAGCCTACAGGTCCATGTATAGGTTCCTCATGAGCATAGTTAAGTGTTCTGAAATTACCATTCTTCTCAATGTTATTAATATCTTGTCATGATCCACTCAGTAGAATGCTTTTGCATGGCTAGTAAAACACAAGTAAACATCTCTCTGGAATTCTTTGCTTTCAGCCAACATCCATGTGACAACAGCAGTGATATCCCTTCTGAATTCAGCTTGCATTTCTGAAAGTACCCTGTCAGTACACTGTTGCAACCATTTTTGAATTATCTTCAGCAAAATTTTACTTGTGTGTGATATTAGTGATATTGTTCAATAATTTCCACATTCTTTGGGATCACCTTTTTTGGAATGGGTACAAATATGAATCTCTTTCAGTCAGTTGGCCAGGTAGCTGTCTTCCAAATTTCTTGACATAGATGAGTAAATGTCTCCAGTGCAGCATCTGATTGTTGAAACATCTCAATGCATATTCTATCAATTCCTGGGGAGTCTTGTTTTTCCTTAATTCCTTCAGTGCAGCTTTGACATCTTCCTTCAAAACCATTGGTTCCTGATGATATGCCATCCCAGGAAATGGAAGAACATCAACCAGTTCTTTTTGGTATAGTGATTCTGTGTATTCTTTCCATCTTCTTTTGATGTTTCCTGCATCATTCAGTATTTTACCCATAGAGTCTTTCAGTATTGCAACTTGAGCCCTGAATTTTTTCTTCAGTTCTTTCCACTTAAGAAATGCCATGCATGTTCTTCCCTTTTGGTTTTCTAACTCTAGATCTTTGCACATTTCGTTATAATAATTGACTTTGTCTTCTTAAGCTGCTCTTTCAAATCTTCTGTTCAGCTCTTTTATGTTGTCATTTTTTCCATTTGCTTTAGCTACTCTCCTTTCAACAGCAAGTTTCAGAGTCTCTTCTGACATCCATTTTAGTCATTTCTTCCTTTCCTGTCTTTTTAATTACCTTTTGCTTTGTTTGTGTATGATGTTCTTGATGTCATCCTACAATTTGTCGGGTTTTTGGTCATTGTTGTTCAGTGCACCAAATCTATTCTTTAGGTAGTTTCTAAACTCAGGTAAAATGTAATGAAGGTTATATTTTGGCTCTTGTGGACTTTTTAAAATTTTTTCTTCAGCTTCATCTTGCACTTGCTTATGAGCAATGGATGGTCTGTTCCACAGTCAGCTCCTGGCTTTGTCTTGCCTGAAGATATTGAGCTTCTCCATCACACCACAGTATGACAGTATTCCACAGGTGCAGTTGATCTGATTCCTGAGTATTCCATCTGGTGAAGTCCACGTGTATAGCCACTGTGTATGTTTTTGGAAAAAGGTATTTGCAATGGATAAGTCGTTGGTCTTGCAAAATTCCATCATGCCATCTCCAGCGATATTTCTATCACCAGGGCCTTATTTTCCAACTACCTGTGATCCTTCTTTGTTTCTAACTTTTGCATTACAATCATTAGTGATAATCAACACATGTTGATTGCATGTTTGGTCAATTTCAGACTGCAGAAGTGGGTAAAAGTCTTCAGTTTCCTCATCTTTGGCTTTGGTGGTTGGTGTGTAAATTTGAATAATAGTAATATTAACTGGTCTTCCTTTAGGTCAAACCACACCACCACCCACTGCCGTCGAGTTGGATCTGACTTATAGCGACCCCTCCTTGGGTTTCTGAGTCAGTGTCGCTATGGAAGTAGATTGCTCAACCTTCCTTCCGAGGAGTGGCTGGTGGATTTGAACCACCAGCCTTCTTGTTAGCAGTCAGATGCCTTAGACACTAGGCCACCAGAGTTCCTCCTTCCTTGCAGACATATGGATATTGTCCTATCACTGACAACATTGTACTTCAGGATAGATCTTGAAACATTCTTTGTGACAATAAATACCGTGCCATTCCTCTTCAATTTTTTCTTTCCAGCATAGTAGATCATCTGGTTGTCTGATTCAAAATGGCCCAGACTAGTCCATTTCAACTCACTAATGCCTAGGATATTGATCTCTATATGTTCCATTTCATTTCTGACAACTTTCAATTTTCTTACATTATACATACTTTGTACATTGCGTGTTCCAATTATCAATGGATGTTTGCACCTCTTTCTTCCCATTTTGAGTCGTGCCACATCAGAAAATGGAAGTATCTAAAGCTTTATTCCATCTATATCATTAAGGTCAACTCTACTTTGAGGAGGCAGCTCTTCCCCAGTCATATTTTGAGTGACTTCTGATCTGAGGGGGGGCTCGTCTTCAAGCACTGTATCAGGCAGTGTTTCAGGACTATTCATAGAGTTTTCCAGTACTATATCAGACAGTGTTTCACTGATATTCATTACGTTTTCACTGGCCAATTCTTTGAGAAGTGGATGGCCGCTTCCTTCTTCAAGTCTCTCTTAGTCTGGAAGCTCCACTGAATCCTGTGTACCATAGGTGACCCTGCAGGTATTTGAAATACTGGTGGCATAGCCTCCAGCCATACAAGCCACCACACCAGCTACCACAGTATGACAAACTGACAGATGACAAACTGATAGACGAGTGGTGGTTTTTCATTAGCAGTGCCTTAACCACTTAACTGTCAGTTTAGGCAGTTAAAATTTGAATAGTTTATGTGATACATAAACCCTTATTTAATAGGCTTTTTTCCTGTTATTACACATTTTTTTTTTTCTTTCTTTTTTTTTTGATATGTTGTTAGAGTCCAATTCAATGAAATGTATCTCTAGGTTATAGAAGAACGAAATGATGCCCAGAGAAATCTTTCTAGAGAACAAAATGCCAGAATATTACAAGATGGAATTCTGAGCAGTCATCTTTGCAAACAGAAGGAGACAGAAATGGCTCAAAAGAAAATGGTGCACAATTCTGAGGTATTCTCTTTAGTTACTATCAAATATATGTCTCTCTGTATTTATATGTGTATATATTTTAAAATCTACCTTCATGTATTATGGAAAGTTTAGAGGATTTTTAAGCCATAAATAAAATCTTTTGATGGAGGTGGGGTATTTTGTACCATTGGATGAAATAATATTCTTAATTCAGATCCATTTGTAATAGTCAAGTAGTGACATGCACAATGACCTCATCCAGTGGAGATGCTTTTAATATTTTCCCTAGGAATTGCCAGTCCTTCCATAATCTCAAAACTGTTGCTGCCAATAACTAATATTCTACTTTTTGACAGTTATTTTATCCCCTTGATATATTAATAGAGAGTTCAGTTTACTAATTCTACCCATAGGTAAGGAGAAAAAAATCTAGCCAGTAGAGGCCATATTTTAGATGTTATTTTCCTTACTCTTTAGAAAAGCAATGTTGCCAAGGGCTTTTTCCCTCATTAGGTGTCACCCCTGTCAGGTTCCTGCCTTCTACTGAATGACCAGAAGAGTGACCAGGAGAGGCTCAGTCTCCTCACATGAACAAAGGTTTATTAAGAAAAAGTAGCTCCTGAGTGGTGAAAAAGAAGGACAAGGCAACACTAGCCTTTGCCACTGAAGAAAGAATTTGCTGGGGTCTCAAAAGGGTTTTGAGTGGGAAAGGGGCTTCATGATATGGTTTGGGATTGGGGCAGTGTTACAGAGATTAGATGTGACCGCAGAAGGTGGCCAAGATGGCTGGGATGTTGCTTAATCATCAGTGGAAGGTCATTTGTTGGTCACCCTGCAGTGTTGTGTGCATGTCTAGAGGGTTGGATCAAGCCAATTTGTATAACACTTGCAGAACATCTTACAAGAAACGGAAATGTTTTAAAAGGAACTGGGTATGTTGTTTGTTCTCTTGTTCCAGGTTGTAAGTTACTGGCTAGGCTTGTTTTTAGCTTTGCAGTTTGGGCTTTCATTTAACCCTTTAGGTCCTAAATGCTTCTACCTCTCTCATTCCCTTCTGTTCTGGTTACCTAGTGCTGCTCTGACAAGAATATACCACAAATGAGATGGCCTTAACAAACAGGAGTTTATATTCTCTTACAGTTCAGGAGGCTAGAAGTCTGAGTTCAAAGTGCCAGTCCCTAGGGGCTAGGTGAAAAGCTCCTCACCTCTGCCTCCTGCTCCTGGCCCACTGGACCTAGAGGCGTTTCTTCACTCAGACAGCTGCTGAGGCTGAGAAGCCCAAGGTTGAGAAGTAAAAAGGCATAGTCCCAATGTTACCAAACCACATGGCAGGCCATTAAGTCCATTGTAAGCCCCAAGGTCGGCAGAGCATGGCAGGCTGCTGAACCATGACACGGGTTGCATGCAGGATCCAAGCATGCCATAAGCTAGAAACCATTCCTAAGGCTTCTCCTTATATACAGGAAGCAGACCACATCCCAAAGGCAGCTGCTCACCTGCTTGTGGTAGATCCCACCATGGAGTTGATTGCCAGTCTCATCATGGGGAATAACTACCACCAGCTGTGCAACCACTCAACCAGGCCCAGCCAAGTTGACACACAAACGTAACCACCACACCTCCTAAGAGATTTCATACTCATAAATCTTATGGGGAACATGGATGGTGGTCTTTTCTTCTATAGCTTCTTCAAGCTGGTATAGATAGGGTCATCAACCTGCTTGACAGAGTAGAATGTTATAGTGGTTTATATGGCTCAGCTGGTTCCCCTCCAGGTATGGGTTTTGCATTATCATTAGCTTAACTTGGAATTCCTGAAGTAGTTAGGAGACAAACTTTACTAACAGGTTAAATAGGCAGAGCCCCAAATAAGTAATAGAAGCGTAACTACTGTAGGTCCCAGCAAAGGTAAAAACCAAGTAGAAGTCTTACAGCAAGTGCCCTTAGGGGTTGGATATGGGGTTGGAGTGTCTGAGCTAGTGATATTTTTTGCAGTAATAGGAATTGCCAAGATCCCTAGTCTTTTGCCTGACCCATTTTTTTTTTTTTTAGCTTTTTATGACACATCTAGCAGTTACTGAGGTTATTTTATAAGCATGTTATATCTTAGAACATGAGAAAAAACAACATACCCAGTTCCCTTGTAAAATGTTTTAGTTCCTTGTAAGATGTTTTGCAGATGTTTCTATAAGCTATACCTATTGATATTGGTGGTGTTTATCCACCTATGTGGGGTACTTAAGGACTCAATCTGGGTAAGCACACCAAAGGCCAACAACAAAGTCTTCCACATTTTAAAAGAAGAGCTTTTCAAGTGGTTTTAAATATTCACAGTGGCCCAGTTCTTGGTTCCCTTCCCACTAGAGATAAAGAATGCATAAAAGAAATACAAAGAAAAGATAAGCAGTAAGCCATAAGAGAATCATATCTAGCAAGGGTAAAGGTATAACATTCTCAGGGGTGGGGGATTGCTCCAGTGGCAAAAGGCTAGTAAAATAGTCAGAAGCATAACAGCAATGAGAATCCCTATTAAGATGGGAGTGCTAAGCATTACTTATCTAGCTGCACAAACGCTGGCCTCTTCTTAAACAAAAACTTCAAATCTTCAAGGGGCTCAGTTATGTCTTGATTTCCTGTGGGGTATAAGGTTTTATTCTGGAGTTACATATATACGTGGAGACAGTCCCTATATCTTGACTGCAATTGAAGTAGTCAGGATTACTTGCAAGGAGCCTTTCCACTTGCTATGTGAATTTTCTAAGGAGATGAAAACTTCCTCCTGAATAGGTAGTGAAAGTCCAAAAAAGTTCTCTGGAGGCCTAGGCAGAGACATGAACGTTTATTCAGAATAGAAACAAAGAGGATCAGAAGACATAGGATGTAAAAATATAAAGCAGGCTTACAAACTATGCTAGAAATTCAGCATCCAGCAGCGGCAGGCTGGAATGGATCCAAGACGACTGCTAACCCCTTCCCACTTTGGGGGAGATACTTATACCTAAGTTTGAGGAATTGGGGACTGGGGCTGCGTGACTGGTAATGGAGGGATACATGACTGGCTTCACACTTGGTGACCCCAGCCTGGATAGGGAGGGGGCCCCAGGCAGTGCCCTACAACTACCACCTCTGTGTGCTCTGATAAGACACTGCTTTTAGCAAGCTTTATGGCTCAGAACTATTCTAAGGACGGGTTAATATGTTACAGGGAAGGTGGTTAATACCTGACGGAGCAGGCGAATATATGACAAGGAGGGAGTGGGGAAATGGCTTGTAGTTCTTACAAGTGTGGCTGAACAACATGGAATCTGAGAGCCATTTTAGGGGGTTACAGTTACTGAGCATACACTACTTCTCTTTTAGTGGCTCTCAGTGTTCACCTCCTTCCACGCTTTGGGGAGAACAAGATCTCCTGGAGTGATAGAGGTGCTCATTCCTTTCTCTGGAGCAGACAGCATCTTACCATACTCCCTTAAGGCTTCTTGTACCTGCCTCAGGTTGATGATATAGCAAAGGGAGTTGTTAATCTCCGGATCTGTTAGGAGGTTGGAGGTAAGGAAAGGCTGATTATGTAACATTTCAGAGGGGCTGAGTCTCAGATCATCCCTAAAGGCAGATAAAATTCTCTGGAGGGTTATTGGGATTAGTCTTATCCAGGAGTCCTGGGTCTTTTAGCATAATTTAGCTAAAGTTCTCCTCAAAGTCTGATTCATTCATTCTTCCCTTAAAGATGATTGGGGACTGTGGAGTCAAATCCAACACATAGCGACTCCTCCTTGGGTGTCTGAGGCGGTATCGGTATGGAAGTAGATTGCCCAACTTTCCTTATGAGGAGTGAGTGGCTGGTGAGTTTGAACCTCCAGCCTTCTGGTTAGCAGTCAGATGCCTTAGGCACTATACTACCAGAGCTCGCAGCAGATGATTATAGCCTTGTTATGGAGGCATCACAGTGAAGTCCATCTGCCAGTCCACTCCAAGGTAGGTTTCTCTGTGCTGGACTGGTTTTATAAGCAGAGAGGGTATTGGGTGTGACTGAGGCTTGGTCCTCTGGCAGGTTTCACAATTGAGTACCAATGCTTAAGCACCTTATATGAGTTTCTTCCATAAAGGCATTTACTCAGGAAGGTTTGCTAATGCATCTCTTCCATAGTGGGTGGCAGAGTGGAAGCTGTTAGCAATCTTCTATTAGTCTGGACTCAGGAGCATAGAATATTCCTTCTTCATTAACTAGCCACCCACCTGGACCTTGCTGAGTAAATCCTAACTTTGCTTCTTCCTCCTTTGCACAATATTGATAGAATACTGGGGAAGTTGCATCTCTAACTCATAGGGAATGAGAGCTAACTCTTTCTCAGGCTTGGACTCTTGGACTGCCTATTTAGGAGCCAAGTCTGCTCTGTTATTCCCCAGGAGCGTGTTAACTGTCCCTTTTTGGTGTCCTTGCAATGAATAACTGCCAACCATTTGGGGAGGTTAACGACCTCTAAGAGTACAAGCACCAATTCCTTGTGTTTTATCAGAGAGTTAACTGTCAGCATTCTTTGCTCCTTAGTCTCCCCATTGACCCCTGTTACTGTGCTGTCATGGCTGGAGAGCTGGCCAAGAGGCTGAGTCAGGACAGAGTATGCAGCCCCCGTATCTAAAAGAAATTCAGTGTCTTTTTCCTTCCACTTTGATGGTAACCCGAGGCTCTGCAGATGTTACAGTGATGGTCTTCTGGCTGGGGGCCGAACAGTCCTCTGGACACTTCAGTAGTGGGGCTCTACATTCTCAGAGAGGAGCTCTGGTAGCATAGTGCCTAAGTCACTTGACTGGTAACCAGAAGGCTGGTGGTTCAAACCCACCAGACACTCCTTGGAAGGAAGGTTGGGCAATCTACTTTCATAGTGATACTGCCTTGGCAACCCAAGGAGGGGTTGCTGTGAGTCGAGTCCGACTCTACGGCACGTAACAACAGCAACATTCTCAGAGAGAGGAGCCAGAAAAGGAGGTAGCCTACGGGAAGGGTCCACTGGTACTCCTTTTGCCAGTGGCCTCTTTTC